CTTCAAATGTTAAAATAAACTTAAATAACTACTACAACTTTGTTAAAATGCAATAACTTGATTTTTTGGTTAATGGGGCATGTTTAAAAATTTTGAATTTTTTTTTTTTATGAATAATAGAGTTCAAAATAAAGCTACATTTAAACTTTTTTATTTATCTATTCATTTGCTCGAGTTATTAATTTTTAAAAATGTATGACGTCATCGGGAATAGACTAATAGGAACTAGCAACACAACGTTGCCATTTAGACGGTATACGAAAAGTAATTTACGTTCGTTTGTGTTCTAAAATATCGTTAAACAAATATCTTTTAAATATAAAACATCAAATTTTTTTAAAAGTATTATTTATGTTTAAACTTTCACTATATTTAAAGTTTCATTGTTTTAAAAAACGACAACTAATATACAAGAAAATGGAAATGCGGCAGCACTGCATGTGTCATCTGTGAATCAAAAATTTTTTTGTTGTCAATCGATAATTATGCAATTTTAATGTTTTTATACATATTATGAGTATGAAAAAAATGTTTCCACCCAAGATGTGATAATGATTACATTTTACATTCATTATTAAAAATATCTATTAGTGTTGATAGAAATATGAAAAGACGAAAATTATTATTATTACACAGAAACGCTTCACGCAACAGCTAGAATATTTTGTTAAGGTTTGTATCTATACTCTTTATTAAAATAAAAATATTTTTTCCTACGACCACTTAGGAAAGTGACACATATCACACTATACAGACCTATGGAAAGTGCCCTATATCACACGCGTATGAATAAGAATTTACTTTCCACCCAAGTGAGAATATGTTACTTTCCGCAGTAGCTGTCAGAAAATGTCAAACACATAATTTCTATTTTGATCTATGTAATGTCCATATTAATACTAAAATCGATATGATTGTTAAATTATTGTAAATTAGATCCTAGATATTTATCTTTAACAATTATTTTTAAAATAATTTTAAAATAACTAAGATATATTTGCTTTTTATTCTGGTTAAACACATAAGCGATTAGATCAATCAATTACCGTAAGGCCTGTTAGCTCAGTTGGTTAGAGCATCAACTTTGCAATTTGAGACCGTCCAACGACCGCGATCGAATCCTGGCTGTGCCAGAGTTTTTTTTTATTTTTTTTTTATTTTTTTTTATTTGTTTAGAAATTATGAAAATTTAATAAATACGATTATTGTTGATTATTTTTTTAAATACATTTTAATTATTATAATAATCTGGTTTTACATTTTTTGATGAAATTATTTTGTGGTCGTAGGAAAAATATTGTACATCACTTGTGTGAAAAGTGATTTTCCACACTCGTGTGATAGTCGCACTCGGCTTACGCCTCGTGCGACAATATTTCCCACTCGTGTGAAAAATGTCACTTTCCACACTCGTAATGTAATATACTATATTGTAATTTAATCATTCAATTATCTACCATTGTAGTAACGATGTTTTTTCTTTTTTTTAGATACCAGATGATTTTGAAAACTGTTCATTTTTTAAATGATGGGTACATATGAGAAGTACCACACAAATACCTCCACATTTCTTGTTATTCACCACACAAGAGCCAGCTCACTGATTCTACCAAAAAAAGAAAAACAGGAAACAAAAAAAATGTTGACTGGAAAATAACCTTCTACTAGAGGCATTTTTCATCTCTATTTAATAAATATACACCGGATCTTCAAGATGCAGCAGCAATATCTGACATTGCCCCCTTCGGTTAATTTAAAATGAGCCTACTATAAGTTCGAAGGTGTACCTGTTAAGTTCATTTGGATTGCCATCGAACTCTGGTACGCAATTTAAATATTCAGGTTTAAAATCTGCCATTTCTCCTAAAGGTTTTTTGTATTTTAGATCTTTTTCTTTATTATTATTTTTAAATATAAATCTAGAGCAGCTTTCTTTCTTTCTTTCTTTCTTTCTTTGGAATAGGAAGGTCAATTAAATTATCTAAATCAAGAGTTGTAAATTCGTTTGCGAGTAAACCAATTGACATTTAACAAATAAAAAAAAAATAATTTTAGGTCACAAGAGAACCATGAATTTGTGCATTATCCTTGTCTAACTATAAGGATAAACAGTACTTATCCCTGGAATCTGCACTTCTTGCAAAATTGAGCGATTTTATCCTAACTTTCGACGCTGATTGTTGAGAGCGGCTATGCTGGTCTTCGATGGATAGGCTTTTCGATGTTTGGGAATTACTTCAATATCAACACCTTCACACACGAATCGCAAAAAATGTTCGATATCAATCGTTAAAACGAAAATTAACACGTTCGATACGCGACAACTTGGATATCCTACTGACTGCGCCACAAATATTTTCTGATCTCAAGATTCTTTTTTTAAAAAAATATTTTAAAATTTTACAAGTTTTATTTCATCTAACATAATACATATAACTACCAAGAGATCTAATTATTAAGTAAATAATTGGCATAAAAATGTTCTAAACCAGAATAATGAAATAAGATACGCGATACGAGTTTCTAAGAATAAAAGTCGTTGACTCTTCAATTCCCATAAGGAAAGTTGACGTAATTCGTGACTAATATTCTGACCAATTTCTTTATAATAATCATAATATGTTTCATTGACTAAAAGTTATATGTACCGCAATGCCCTGTACTTCGGTTGCAGTTTAGTAAAGAAGATGAAATGGACGGCAACGTACATTCTTCATAAAAGTCTGAAAACTGAAAAATGATCCAGTCCATAAAACATTCCAACTCGGCAAGATATACTCTCAAGTCATGATAAAGTTCACAACTTTATTCGCATCTAGATTAAAATCTCTGGCACCCAAGTGGTATATAATTTTATGAAGTTATAATATTATCGAGAAAGGGAATCTGGCAAATTAAAATGTAACTCGTTTTTTATCGTGGAGCTCATTATTCCTGGAATTTTTTAAAAATATTTTCATCACGTTCTATACATGACATAAATTTGTCAACACTTTTAAAGTTATGGTTTTAAACACGAATACTTAATAAAATTCTTTGATCTACATATATATTAAAATATGAAAATAAAATATATACATTTAGGTATAGTTTGAGTATAAAATTTATTATCCTATTGTTTAATAAATTTATTTTTATACACGGTAAAATATATATTTTTTCAGATAAACAACGTAAAGTAAAACATTTATATTTTTTAATATGCATTTGAGTCTTTCAATAAAAACGGAATGAATCTGATTAAAGTCGATAGATAACTCATCCGATTTAAATTTTTTCTAACAGAGATAGTTATGCTAATATGAAGCAAAAATTAAGCACTTTTGTGCTTGTTTTTGACCCAGGCATATCCAATCTTTGTTTAAGAAAAATTTAATCATGCATGCTAAAAAAATCGTTTATAAAAATCGAGCACCAAAATTGTTTAATTTAATATTCGTAAAATTTTTTTTGCATGTTCAGTGATACTTCTTTACCACATTGTCTGATTTTTATGATTCTTTTTTGTTAGGAAAAGAGTGGGTACCTCCAGACTGGTCCCATATACATTAGTAAACTGAATTTGCGATGGCATCTGCACGATTTTGGACTCGGTTTTTTAAAATTATTCTATTTTAGTAGTCAAATACTTGTAACATTGTACACGGTTCTAATTTGAGAATAAAATGCCTAAATTAAGTTTATTTACTCTTATAATGTAGCACGAACAAGAGTCTGTATATATAGCGTATGTATGATGGTTTACCTTACGGCACTTAGGCTTCACTAGACCAATTGTGCATCGTCCCAAGTAGATAGGCACCTTACAGCTTGTGAGTGAGCCTACAGATTTAATGTATGTAGTTGACAACATCAAGAGGTGCTTTACTTATATCGGCCGGTGTTAGCCAATTCTCAACGAACACAAATATTCTAGTAATTTTTGGTTTATTGGTACCCAGACGGTATGTTAGGGAGAGAGACCCCAGGTGCACCCCATGGTTCTACGGTATTTTTCATAAGCAATGTATGCTTTTTCTACTCTGTTTTCTAAGTGTGGGTTCCATGGTAACTTGTGGTCAAATGTGAGATCTAGGTACCTCACTTCTGTTGCAAAGTTTAGTTTTGTGATTTAGGAGCTCTGGAAGTTTTATTTCCATTTTCATTCATTTCCTTGTTAAAAGTGCAATTTCTATCTTCCTTGGATTATTAGACAGTAAATGGTCCCTGCGCCACTGTTATTTGAGAGCTACTTGCATTCTTTCGCAGCGTGTGTTCTCAAAATTGTTGTGTAGTGATTGTCATTATTGGGTCGGCTGATGGGGTGCCGAAAACCATGCTCTGCAGTAGAAGTGATAGCACCCCTCCCTGTGTATATCCCCTCGCAATCAAGTTTTTTATATTCACATCTTTATACTTATGTGTATTGCTCGCTTTAAGAACATGTTTTGTATTCACTCACTAACCATCTATGGAACATTCCTGTTGTTTAGTGAGTGTATTATCTTGGGAAAGGTCGAAGCACCTTCTATGTCTACGAAAACACCCTAGGGGATATTTATTATATGGGGATCTCTCTATCCTGCAAGCAACCAGGTGAAGGGCTGAATCAGTAGATCTGTCTGCAATATATGCATGTTGATTTGGGTGTAGCGGTGTTGTTGTAATGACTATCCTTTTAGGTTTGGATATAAATACAACTTTTACCTATCTAACATTTTTAAGGGTTATACCTCAGAGCCAACGAGGATCTGAACATATTTACCAAGTGAAATGTGAGTTTTTCCAGATCCCACTGAAGTAGGTCTAAATAGATACCGTCAGGTCCTGTTAATTTAAATGGAGAGAAGCTAGATATCTAATTATGTCACTATATTGCAATAAAAACGGCACAGCCTCTGTAAATAAATGATCGTAAACGATAAAAATATTTACATGCACAACTAAATTACGTTTTTGACAAAAAAAAAAAACATCATTTGCTGAAATACACAAAAACGACTTAAAAATGGTATAAAAAAGAAACTAATAAAGAATTTTACAAAAAAATTATAAGAGAGCTAATAATTTCGAAACACTATTCTAATTTTTTGATTTGGAAATAAATTATATTATACGAGAGGATAACTGGCTTGGGTAGCAATACCGCAAGCATTGTTCTTGTTCCTGGCCATTTTGATGTAACCAGATTGTCCCCAGCTAGGACCCCAAGTGTTTTTGACCAACCAGTAATCTACGCCATTTTCGTCAGTTCCGTAATCCACTACTAGGACTCCGTGGTCTAATTTGGTTGAACTGCATTCTGGGTCTGAGTATACACCTTCAGAATACAACTGGAAGGTTTCATCGATGGCTACAGACACTGGTCCAACAGTAGCAACAGCGGCTTTAAAAGTTTCTTCGTTATCAGAATCGATATCAACGAAACCTTTATCAGTGAATCCCTTGGACTTTGGGCGTTGTAATGGCACTTTTCATCTTCAGCTTTGTATGAATAAGAAGCTTCTGTGTCAATACCACGGTTGTCTTTGACGTAACGGAAGGCGTTGTCCATAAGTCCACCGTTGCAATCATTGTTACCATATTTAGTGGAGCAGTTGACCAAGTTTTGTTCGGATAGAGAAATGAGTTTTCCAGTTTTTTGTTGTGTTGTCCTTTAGGTGAACCGATTGCACTGAAGCTCCAGCAAGACACGTAATGGCCTTGATCTTTGACAGCTGTCACAGCTTTTTGGGTTCGCCAAACTACTTCTTCTGGCATCTTGACATTAGCTGGTGCTATGAATGTGATGAAATCGTCCAATTCCGTTCCTCCTAACATATTCTTAGTCTTGTTGAATCCGTTCAACGCCTGAAAGAACTCGCTGTGTAGCAAATTGGCGTATTTGTAAGAAACCAATCCCATAGCATATAAGTTGTTATGTTTGGCAACCTTGTAGGAATTTTCCATAATGAACCTCAATACTAAATCTTTCTTCCGTCATATTGTTTTTGGTGAGTTACTTTGAATGAGGTCCACTTTTCCTGAACCAAATGAAAGAAAGAAACGACTTGTGTTCCCACAAAAAGGCAACAAAAAGTAGTAGTAGCTTCATTGTCTAGACTACACCCAATTAAAAATATATAATAAAATTAACTCTTTACTACTCCGCAAACAACTGATTTATCAATATACAATGTATTTGGCAGTTTGACAATCGTAGACAGATAGGTTGTTGACAATCGTAGATAGATTGGTTGTATTCTTCCTCTGCCAAGTCGGCCATGTCTGTGATGACCGAGTCAGGCAAGTGTGACGACAGCAGAAGTTTGATGGTATCTTCGAGGTTTGCAGCTTTCATGCCATCCTCTTTGATAAGTGCACCAATACTGTGGTGTAAATTTCTTGAGAGAACTTTTTGAGGCCTCGCAGTATGATCTCCATGCATCTCTCTGTTTTTGTTTTTTAGGTGAGATTTGTAAATATTCCAGAGCAGGGGTCGCGGCACTTGGGCGTGGGAACTTTTTACTGACCGTGGGAACCAAATTTTCCTTTGATGATACCGCCCTGCCACGCCCACGCAATTCTTATCTACTAATCGGTTTTTAATTGCTTTTTAATTGTTTAGTCACGTGTTTTTTACTGACCGTGGGAACCAAATTTTCCTTTGATGATACCGCCCTGCCACGCCCACGCAATTCTTATCTACTAATCGATTTTTAATTGTTTAGTCACGTGTCGTGTACAGCAAATCGATTTTTAATTGCTTTTTAATTGTTTAGTCACGTGTCATCCATCTCTCATTCTATACACGTAATATATCACAGCAATCCACCATACACCATTTTAATATAATTTTTTAAACCATTTTTTATTAAAAAAATTTGACTACACGGGGGATCGATCCACCGACCCAGATATTACCAGTCTGCGTCTTAGACCGCTCGGCCACGAGGACATTTAATAATCATTTACAAGATGATGTATATAATCAACGTCATTCTACGTGATGTTTTGCCATTTGCAACTACACATGCGCAATGTCAAAAGGACCTAAGCGTGTATCTTTAGCCATTCGCAACTGCACATGCGCAATGTTAAAAGGACCTAAGCGTGTATCACGTGGTCCGATTCAAACGGGGTCAATATGTAAAAAAACGTCGTACAGAAAAATCATGCACAGTGACGGACCACCTATGCAGTGACAGGCCAAAAGGGCACCGAACGTATATCTTTGTTAACGCAACGCACGCAACGCACGCAACGCACGCAACGCACGCAACGCACGCAACGCACGCAACGCACGCAACGCACGCAACGCACGCAACGCACGCAACGCACGCAACGCACGCAACGCACGCAACGCACGCAACGCACGCAACGCACACAACGCACGCAACGCACGCAACGCAACGTATGCAACGCATGCAACGCACACAACATACACAACGCACGCAACATACACAACGCACGCAACACAGGTATGCATTTACAATGATCACGTCAAAGGGCCCAAGCTTATATTTTGTTAGGCCGATTCGAACGGGGAAAACGGTATTCTACGTGAGACGTCTTGCCATTCACAATGCGCAGTGGCAATGTCAAAAGGGCCTAAGCGTGTATCTCGGCTACTGTTGGTTGGATTTAGACGAGGAAAACGACATTATGTAAAGAACATAACAAAATCGACTAAACTGAATGATGAGGATATTAGTGATGAGAAGTATGCTCATACACAAAATGTTTGGCAGCAATTCAAAAAAAAAGTGCGCGAGAAGAAGCGATGTAGCATCGACGTTGCAAACTCATATCTTCGTTTACATGTACACATGCGTGTTGTAAGCGACGTAAGCGATGCAAGCGACGCAAGTGATGCAAACTACGTAAGCGATGGTCCATCAAAGATAAACGTGGTGTCCTTGGCAATCATGGTAAAAGGTGGGGGACTCCCTTTAAACGACAATCGTAATATCTGGATGTAGCATAAATTTATATACATTTCAACGGTTAGAGTACTATTCTGAGTCCATACAGCGAAAGCCATCTTAGCTATTTCAAAATACATTGTATGCCGTTCCGCTTTCGGAAAGTACCACTTTAAATATTTCTTATTCCATTTATAATATGCTCATGTTTTCGTTATTTAATGTACCGTCAATATCAGTAATCCCATTTTCACTTTTTATTTATATATCCAAAACGTTGTAAATACTCAACAACATCATCTCGAGTTGTTATGCTTTTATCAAATATCATTGCTACGATACTAAAAAGTATCAGAGTAAATACGTCTCAATTCTTAGACATCTTGTTTAATAATGAAATATGAAGCTGTTTACCCACCAATAAATAAAACAAAAGTTTTTTTAAATATTATTTATTCAAGTCATTAATTACAAAAATTTTATTAGGAAGTATTCGTCATGCGATTTACAAAAATCAATGATAATATAAACAGAAATTAAGTTCTTCTAATAAAGCCGCTCGATTGGACACCAATTGTTTGTTAGTTTCAAGAATTTCATGCACTACCTCTTCACACAAATAGTATTCAACGCCATGTTTCTTTTCAACCAGTAATTTGATATCGTCATAATGTGTAATGATGCAATAATCGTCACATGCACATGAAACGGGATCATACTCGTCTGGATACGTAGGCAAATCCTCATGGAAAAATCATCATTGGAAAGTACCGAAAGATATTTTACTCGGTCTGAAATGCTGCTCCAAAATGATTGCTGGAGTAAACGATCTCGCTGGACTTATTCCACAGTAATGTTCGTAAACATATACGAGTGTGCTGCTCCAGGATTTTCGTGTTCATGGTGAAATTGTTAAAAATGACTAGTATTTAACCCTAACGGTACAGAGTCAGAAACTTTCTCTTTGGGGACTTACAAGAAAAATGTAACAAAACGTCGTGATTAAGTTAATCAATTTGTTGCAAACTACACACTGCTTATTACTTGGAAGATACAAAAAAAAAAAATACAAAAGTATTATAAGATTAAGGTAGAACTAGATTTACAATATAACAATTTAAGTTACTGGTTTCTTGTACGTGAAAATTTTTACTTAAAATGTACTAAAAAATGTCACCTTGTACTCTGTGTTACTGAATCTGTGGGACTCATCAGGTACCACCTCTTCGATGGTTCACATATTTTTTGATTTTTTGTATCCAAATGGTTCAGAGCTATGATCTTCGAGGAACTTTCTCTTTGTTGAGTTTGGTTGGTATCTCTTTTTAATGTTCTTCGTTACAACCTCATGTTCTGCTGTGCGCTCAATGTGTTTGGCAACTATATAAACAGGTTCATCAGGAGTAAGGACCATCTCTTTGATGGAGTCAAAATTTACTGTCTTTTGTACTTCTAAGGTTAAAGATATCCCTTTAACTTTGCAACATACCTTTTCTTTTTGTTCCATAGTTGACCAAAATTTGTAGGCGTAATTTTTCGGTCCACCGGATACAAATTCGGTAATATATGAACCAAGACCTTCTTTTTCGAGTTCATCGGTCATATCACCAACAAACTCGCCTGTGGGGACGTCGTATTCCTTAGGTCGTGACACATAGATTACAGAATCTGTATCGTAATACAGCGCTCTTTTGTCCAATTTTTCAAGGGAGTCATACAATTTTAAACGAGCCTGTGCAGTAACAAAGGCTGCTATTACTACATTTACGGTAGACAAAGAGTCAGATGCCTCCTCTCGGTACTCCCAGTTTACAATCAGAGTATTACCTTCATCACCAATTGGGAGCACAGTGTTCACATATATCGAAGGATCAGACATAATTTTAAAGAATTCTGCAGTGTTATTGATAATCGATGTCTTTGGTTGGTTCTCACGTTGTCCAAATTTACCCCAAAACGAGTTGAGCATAAGTTTGGCCAATGATCTCAAGCCAGGATTATCAACAATCTTGGAAAATTCTAGGTGAATATCTTCTCTTTGCAAAAACCGTTCAATATACTGATCTTTTTCGGTGTCTGTTTTACAGTTTGCCGGCCAGCCAGACGATTCTTGCTTAATCTTAATAAATTTGTTCATCATAGTTGTAAATAATCCTGATACATTGTTACTAAACTGGATAGTTTCATATGCCCACACCTCGTATATTTCTAAAATTGTGTATCCCATTTCAACAGCTTTAAGAACTTCTTCAGTTACCCAGGTTCCGGTTAATGCTCGCTCTTCGTTGGAATGTTGACATTTCTCGTAATTGAGATTTTGTCCACATTTTCGACAAAGAACGAACATTAACTTGTCGTTCATTTTCTGAGGCAACACAGGATGAAAAAGATCACGAGGAGGAAGGATCTTGCACTTGACAAGACCCGAGATGGAGGCGAGAGGAGGACATTCTGAACCTACGTAGACTTTTGGGTGGCCGACGGGAAACTTTCCGTACTTGCAAACCCATGGATACAGAGAGCAAACGTCAACATATTTTATTTTTTCGTCTTCCAGGGCTTTGTAATACTCAACAGTATTTCCCGTGCGGCCCCCGTAGAACGCATCTCTAGGATCAAGCGGTGTTTGCTTCACATATGGGTGTGTTTCTGTATAATTTTGCAACTCTTTGTTGTCAGTTAGCCGACGCTTGAAATCACACTCCCACATCTCAATAACTTCATATCCCAGAGAGCGAAGTCGTTCATTCTTAGCCAGCGTTGTGTCGTATTTACTATTTAATGTTTCGCTAGGATCTTTATGTAGGGGAGTATCTCTTTGATACGTAAAACAACGAGGACACCCGTGGTAATAGCAGCCTTCAAATTCAAACACCTGTTTAGTGTCCTCACAATACCCGTCTACTTTTACTCCAGCAACTCGAACCTCTTCGCCTTTAGCAGCATGATGAATATTAACACCTCTTTGGTGTT